TTTCCCTCATGCTGTTGCTGGCTCCGGGAGGATGAAGGACTGCCCCCTCTGCCATGTTGGGATGCATGCCGGCTCGGTGGCCTGAAGAAATTGGTAAATTTACCTAGCCATGGGGGGGGTCTTTCCATTTCCTCGATGCCCCCATCTTGTTCCCGCTGTGTTCCGGTGCCTGTGATGCCATTTGGGCGGCTGGCTGATGATTGTGATCGATTTGGCGGGTCTCAGTCTGTCAGAGCAGCAGACTCACATGGCGATCTCAGTCTGCGGCCGGCTGCGCCCCCCTGACCAATACCTTTTAATAATGAGATCCCTCTGAAGCTTTGGAAGCTCTCTTCGGACCATGGCTTTTGCTGTAGGATGCAACTAAGAAAATGTCAGGAAAGACCTACTAGAACAGCTGAAATTTATTTGAGGTTAATCAGAGGTACTTTAAATGATGGCAGGTGTGTATTGACTCCTATTTAACATGACTTTGAATGTGCTTGCTTAATTCTGAACACAGCTACATCCCCAGTTCTAAGAGGGTGTGCACACTTATGCAATCAATTTATTTTAGTTTTTTAATGTTTACACCCCCCCCTTCAAATGTTTTCAGTTTGTTTTTCAATTAAAGTTGTACAGTTTATAGGTCACATTAAAAAGGTGGAAAAAGTTCTAAAATGATTCAGCTTTGTCTCATTTTCTACATCACAGAAACCTGACATTTTAACAGGGGTGTGTAGACTTTTTATATCTACTGTATGTGCTACACAAAATGGACAGCAATGCTCCAGACACATGCTAGTGTTGTAATAAAGAAGTGAGAACAATGTCCAATGTTTTCTGGTAATGTCCCAGTTTAAGTCCATTTTGGGAGCATGTGATGACCACTATCAAACACTTTACCTCTGTTGACCATCCACTGGTCTTTCTTAGCAAGTGATCCTTGGAGAGCACCTCTTTTGCTCTTTTCCCCATCCTTTCCTTTCTCTCCCCTTTACCCCATTTTTTCCTTCCCCTACACCCATCCTTGATAAGCCTACACCAATTCCGTTTTAAATTCTGGTTAACGCCTTTATAACATACTATACATACCAAGCTGTACTTTGTCAACACTAAGCATCTAGTTCTACTGTTATGCAAATTTTCTATTTCCTGTTCAGTTTTTTAACCTTACAATGCAGGAGTCATTCTATCTAATGTACCCAGGTTATGGTTTTCACTGGACTCAATGTATACCTGCTTTGCTCTACACATCAAGTATTAGCTGAAGTGTTGATGATGCACAGTGCCTTGCTCTGATACCCTGAAATGGGCTTCTTTTGTCTTCTCAAACTCATCTGTATTTGTATACACATCTGTAGCTTGCTGTACTCCATTTTTCCATGTCATTCCGGTCATTGTATGTACCATTATAGAATTACCGTATTTTCCGGCGTATAAGACAACCTCCTACTTTTCCTGTTTAAAATGTAGTGTTTGGGCTATACTCGCCGTATAAGACTACCCCTCTTCCAGTGCACACCAGTGGGAGGAATAGTGCCCCATCATTGGTATCAGTGGGAGGAATAGTGCCCCATCATTGGTGTCAGTGGGAGGAATAGTGCCCCATCATTGGTGTCAGTGGGAGGAATAGTGCCCCATCATTGGTGTCAGTGGGAGGAATAGTGCCCCATCATTGGTGTCAGTGGGAGGAATAGTGCCCCATCATTGGTGTCAGTGGGAGGAATAGTGCCCCATCATTGATGTCAGTGGGAGGAATAGTGCCCCATCATTAGTATCATTGGGGGGAATAGCACCCCATCATTGGTGTCAGTGGAATAGTGCCCCATCTTTGGTGTCAGTGGGAGGAAAAGTATCCCATCATTGGTGTCAGTGGGGGGGGGGGGAGGAATAGTGCCCCATCGTTGGTGTCAGTGGGGGGGGGGAGGAATAGTGCCCCATCGTTGGTGTCAGTGGGGGGGGGGGGAATAGTATCCCATCATTGGTGTCAGTGGGGGGTGGAATAGTGCCCCATCATTGGTGTCAGTGTGGGGGGTGGAATAGTGCCCCATCATTGGTGTCAGTGGGGGGGGGGGGAGGAATAGTGCCCAATCGTTGGTGTCTGTGTGGGGGGGGGGGGAGGAATAGTGCCCCATCGTTGGTGTCAGTGGGAGGAATAATGCCCCATCATTGGTATCAGTGACACCAACGATGGGGCACTATTCCTCCCACTGACACTTGCTGACCCCTGTTCCAGTACGGTGCTGCTGCAGCTAGCATATGTGGTTGCAGCAGCACCTAAGCACGGCACACTTACCTGCATCTCCACTCGATTTTCGCGGGGCCGCTCAGCTCCGCCTCCTCGCCGGTGATTGGCCGCTCGTGTGCCTTTCCTGAGCTACAGTTCTGGCGGCCAATCACCGGTGAGGAGGCGGAGCTGAGCAGCCACGCGAACATCCAGTGGACGAACCGAAGGAAGGAGCAGTCGCGCTTCCTGGACAGGATCGTCGTGGGACCGGAGCCAGGTAAGAGACAGCAGCCCCTGCCCACCCCTGTACTTAGTTTCCCTTCTGTTGGAAGGGGGGGGGCGGCGGCAGCAACGCGCCGCCCCCCTAGAAAGTGTCAGCATGCCGTTACCGGCGTATAAGACGACCCCCGACTTTTGAGAAGATTTTCAAGGGGTAAAAAGTCGTCTTATACGCCGGAAAATACGGTATGTTTGTTTTGAAGACTCGACACAATAAAGAATGAAAAAAAAAAAACTAAAAAAAAAATATAACTAAAACTGGTGAAAATTTGCAAAACTATAAAAGAACTTGATTGTCCACCTGTGAACCTGAGAAGAAAAATGTGCATTTTTTTTTTATTTCACTTCATTTAAAATTCCCTTTCTCAGGAAAGTATTGACACCAGATTATTAAACCTTGGGTTTTACGGTCACCTACAGGAACACTGGGAAAAAAACAGAAACCATAAACCAGCCATAAAACTCCATCATACAGCCACCATGCTCAGTTTGTAGCAAACAATACCAAAAGCAAATGGCTATAAACAAAAGAAAGGGAGAAACCTGTGTCCCCAGTAGTGGACCCAAACAAAGAGATTTTAAGTAAAACAAAAAAAAAAAAAAAAAAAAAAAAAAAAAAAAAGGAAATTTGACTTGCTGGTAATTTCCATCTCTTGGGAGTATAGTACAGGACACAGGAAGCGTATTTACACACCATGGATTGTAGCAGTGTTTCTCTTTTATTTGTCACAGTCCTTTTTTCAGTCCTGAGACACCCTAAGGGCTTATTGGCACATGAGGTTGGGGGAAGTAAAATCATGTAAAGGGAGAAAGATCACAGCTACTCCTGACTAGCCCAGGTGAATAAACAATAAGGAGCAGCCTCAGCCTACGTCTCCACCAAACAACACACCCTGATGCATTTTACCCCACTCACTGGGGCCTATATTCCCTATGACTAAGCCTCAGTGTGTTGGGCAAAATGCATCAGGGTGTGTGAATTGGTGGAGATATGTACGCTGAGACTGCTCCTTATCCTTTATTCACCTGGGCTGATCAAGAGTAGCGGCGATCCTTTCCTCTACTGTTACTGGCCCTCTGGATTAGTATTAGGATAAGCCTGCACCCCATACTCTGGGACACAGAAATTTTTCACCTCAAATTTGAGCGGCATGACAAGCAAATATAACAGGTCGCAGTGGGTGAAATATTATGGTTGAGCTGTGTTTTTACTATACGTATATGTAAATGGTGAATGCACCACACCTGTGAGGTATTGTCGTGAACATCAAAATGAGAGCAATAAAGCTCCAAACCTCCTATGTAACGCTAAACTGATAAACCTGTACAGGCTTTTCATCGCTCATGGAGATTTTTAGGTACTGTAGTTTGGTACCATTCCACAGGTGTACCCAATTTTAAAGCACAACATATTAGGTATCTATTTACTTGGAGTAACAATCTTTTATACTTTAACAAAAAATATGAATTATATAGTGTTTGTGTGAAATAAAATTAAAGTGTTTTTTTTTTAAAATGCATTTGAAAAACCACTGCGCAAATGCTGTGTTACATTCAAAAATGCAACACCCACCATGTTTTTCTCTAGGGCCTCTGCAAAACATATATATATAAAGACACATTTTATATAATTTATTATGTTTGGGGATTCTAAGTAATTTAAGAAAAAATACTGTTTTTTACACATGGGAGTGAAATGTCAGAATTGGCCTGGTAGGGAAGTAGTTAATATAGTAAGTCTGGGGAAAAAAATCTTCAGCAGCTTCCTCCAATACTCTCTCAATATCCTCTTCATCTCCTTCTGTGTCCTCTATAGTAAGGTATAGTAATTCGGGATCCAACTCAGGTTGAGAAACTGAGGTGTGCATTTTTGGGCCCTAGACAAAGATGGCTATGTTAAGTCTGTAATCTTCAGAGAAATTGTGACACAGATGTGGAGAATGCTGCCTTAGTCAAATAGGCTGCTTGTGGTGTGCCTGAAATAATTCTACTGTTGGATTATGAGATCAAAGTTCGAGCCAGTTCTTGCTATGATGCAAGGGACACATCGTCACTCTACGGTTGAGTGTTGTGTGGGCCTTCGGCAGAGTGAATGTTTGTTTTCAATTTTGCATTGGTCCACTTTCATCTTTTCTCCACCATAATTAAATGAAGGTGCTCCCTTGTGGGGGTACTCACAAAATAGGGTGTATAGACCATCCTGTAACGAATCCTCATGGCAATAGGGCAAGAGAAAGTGTCTAAGTACTTTGTAAGGGCTCTGGTGACAGTGGCGGTAAAGTGTGTGACCAGTGGTATGATGTCACACCTGGTCATCCACCTCATTTGAGTGGTTGTGTTTTAGCGCAAAGTTTGTAAAAGATTACACTCCTAAGTGGGTGCATTCCAAACATAGCTCTCGTTTTTACAGTACCAGAGATACAGGCTGACCCTATCTCACTTGTCCACAATACTGTACTGTATGTGTTTCACGCTATAAAATGTCAAAGTATTTAGCATTAAAATGCATTACCCATCTCCACTGCAGCTGTCATCAGAAAATGTATCTTCTCCAGCCCAGGAATGGTAGTATCGAACAATATGTGGATGGTCTAAAACAGCTAAAGCTTTAACCTCGGAGACATCTTTTCTAAATATGAATATAGAAAAAGAGAAATAATAATACAACTATTAAAAGTAAAGACCTTTTATACTCAGAGACATTGTCACTTTGCCCTTTTAGGGCAACAGGGTTTATCCCTTCCCCCCAACAGTAATGCTTTCCCAAAGCTAAAAACAGTGCATATTTTTCAGTGGTGGTCACAAAAGGAGTGGCAAGGGAGTGCTGGGAAGCAGAGTTTGTAGGTGGTTGGGAGTGTGCTTGACATAGGCATGTACAGTTTTCATCCATAATAAAAATGTTTTAGGTCAATAACCAATATTTTTCTCACCGTGGTAGCGGTGGACCATAACATTTGGGCTTATAAAACAAGGCAAAAAGAAAATTATAGTAACCAAATGCAAGTAAAAAAAAAAAAAAATATCACTTCAATATTAAAATGTAAAGGCAAACAAAAAGAAATAAGATAAGAAACAGTTCCTACCTTAAAAAAGGATAAGTTCACCTTTTGTAACATGTTACACCCATATTCAGGGTGTCAAATGTAACGTGTTACAAATGCACCGGATCGCCGCCCCATCCCCCCACCAAGTTTACATTTTGACAAACGAGGGATCTTCTTCCCCCATTCACTGCCAAAATCTAAAGAAAACATGGATGTCCGAGGCTCCGTCCATCCAGCCACATCATCCATTCACAGTGTGCTGTGAATTGGAAAACTACAAGTTGGCTTGTAATTCTCAATGAACTACCAGGGTGCTGCTGAGCACTCTGATAGTTCATTATTTATTCAGGTCAGTGTGTAATTGCCTGCCTGTACGAGCAGACAGATACGTTGGCAAGTGGAACCCGTGATCAGTAGAGGTTTTACAGGCATCAAGTAAAAATAAATAAATACACATACTCAAAGCTACAAATTTATTTTATTGTGTATAATACTGTGTGTATATATATATATATATATATATATATATAATATATATATATATATATATACATACACAAATACACATACACACATACATACATATATATACATACACACACACACACAGATATACAGTCAGGTCCATAAATATTGGGACATCGACACAATTCTAACATTTTTGGCTCTATACACCACCACAATGGATTTGAAATGAAACGAACAAGATGTGCTTTAACTGCAGACTGTTAGCCTTAATTTGAGGGTATTTACATCCAAATCAGGTGAACGGTGTAGGAATTACAACAGTTTGCATATGTGCCTCCCACTTGTTAAGGGACCAAAAGTAATGGGACAGAATAATAATCATAAATCAAACTTTCACTTTTTAATACTACTGGTCGCAAATCCTTTGCAGTCAACTACAGCTTGAAGTCTGGAACGCATAGACATCACCAGACTCTGGGTTTCATCCCTGGTGATGCTCTGCCAGGCCTCTACTGCAACTGTCTTCAGTTCCTGCTTGTTCTTGGGGCATTTTCCCTTCAGTTTTGTCTTCAGCAAGTGAAATGCATGCTCAATCGGATTCGGGTCAGGTGATTGACTTGGCCATTGCATAACATTCCACTTCTTTCCCTTAAAAAACTCTTTGGTTGCTTTTGCAGTATGCTTTGGGTCATTCTCCATCTGCACTGTGAAGCAGCGTCCAATGAGTTCTGAAGCATTTGGCTGAATATGAGCAGATAATATTGCCCGAAACACTTCAGAATTCATCCTGCTGCTTTTGTCAGCAGTCACATCATCAATAAATACAAGAGAACCAGTTCCATTGGCAGCCATACATGCCCACGCCATGACACTACCACCACCATGCTTCACTGATGAGGTGGTATGCTTAGGATCATGAGCAGTTCCTTTCCTTCTCCATACTCTTCTCTTCCCATCACTCTGGTACAAGTTGATCTTGGTCTCATCTGTCCATAGGATGTTGTTGCAGAACTGTGAAGGCTTTTTTAGATGTCGTTTGGCAAACTCTAATCTGGCCTTCCTGTTTTTGAGGCTCACCAATGGTTTACATCTTGTGGTGAACCCTCTGTATTCACTCTGGTGAAGTCTTCTCTTGATTGTTGACTTTGACACACATACACCTACCTCCTGGAGAGTGTTCTTGATCTGGCCAACTGTTGTGAAGGGTGTTTTCTTCACCAGAGAAAGAATTCTTCGGTCATCCACCACAGTTGTTTTCCGTGGTCTTCCGGGTCTTTTGGTGTTGCTGAGCTCACCAGAGCGTTCCTTCTTTTTAAGAATGTTCCAAACAGTTGTTTTGGCCACGCCTAATGTTTTTGCTATCTCTCTGATGGGTTTGTTTTTTCAGCCTAATGATGGCTTGCTTCACTGATAGTGACAACGCTTTGGATCTCATCTTGAGAGCTGACAGCAACAGATTCCAAATGCAAATAGCACACTTGAAATGAACTCTGGACCTTTTATCTGCTCATTGTAATTGGGATAATGAGGGAATAACACACACCTGGCCATGGAACAGCTGAGAAGCCAATTGTCCCATTACGTTTGGTCCCTTAACAAGTGGGAGGCACATATGCAAACTGTTGTAATTCCTACACTGTTCACCTGATTTGGATGTAAATACCCTCAAATTAAAGCTGACAGTCTGCAGTTAAAGCACATCTTGTTCGTTTCATTTCAAATCCATTGTGGTGGTGTATAGAGTCAAAAATGTTAGAATTGTGTCGATGTCCCAATATTTATGGAACTGACTGTACATACACATACACACACACACACACACACACACACACACATACATACATATATATAAATATACATACATACACACCCGCCACTTTATTAGGTACACCTTGCAAGTGCCAAGAAAATAACCCCCACACCATTACACCACCATCACCAGCCTGAACCGTTGATACAAGGCAGGATGGTTTCAAAAAAAAAAAACACCAAATTCTGACTCTGCCATCTGATTGTAGCAGCTGAAATCGAAATGCCCATTCTCCTCTGACTTCAACAAGGCATTTTCGTCCACACAGCTGCTGCTCACTGGATATTTTCTCTTTTTCGGACTATTCTCTGTAAACCCTAGAGATGGTTGTGTGTGAAAATTCCAGTAGAGCAGCAATTTTTGAAATATTCAGACCAGCCCGCCTGACACCAACAATCATGCCACGTTCAAAGTCACTTAAATTCCCTTTCTTCCCCTTCCGGATGCTCAGTTTGAACTTCAGCAAGTTGTCTTCACCACGTCTAGATGCCTAAATGCATAGAGTTGCTGCAATGTGATCGGCTGATTATTAGCAGATTGTGTTACCAAGCAGTTGAACAGGTTGTACCGAATAAAGTGGCCGGTGAGTGTGTGTATATATATATATATATATATATATATATATATATATATATATATATATATATAAAAACATTTTATTTATTTCAATGAATTAATGCTAGTGGGATGAATTATGAACTTCTTTTTTGTTTTTTGCTTAGTTGTCAAAAACAAACTCAAAATCAAACAAATTCCCAAATTGGCCCACATTGTGCTTAAGCCAGGAGACAATGAGGGAAATAAATAGCTGAAAGTAATATGAACATTGCTGTGGTTAGTTTCTATAATGTTGTGATTAGTCCCCAGAAACCAATTTCTAAAGCCGACCATAGACGGTCAAAGATTTAAACCATACTGTAGATGGGCAGGCTAATTGTACCAAGGCTCTACTTAAACCCCCCCCCTCCACTGGGAGAACACAATAGCTCAGCGGGAGGGACTGGTAGAGTGACTTTCCTGCAAAAGAAAATCAAACCATCAGTGAGCAAAATTACTTAACCAGAAATGACATTTTCAGGGGGCGTTCTATACACCATCTGTTTACTGAACGCCTCCAGGCAGCCATGTTGCATTACCTTTCCCAAAAAATGACAGCGATGCAGACTGAAAAGGAAAAGGTAATTTTTAATAACATTCAATTACAATATGACTTGAGTCACAGTTGTATGCGCTATATATATATACAGTTGTGTTCAAAATAATAGCAGTCAGACATCGCTAATCTGATCACTGTTTTTGGTAAAAAATGATATTTCTACATGGCAAAATACTTTACTAGCAGGTGTAGTAGAGTAATAGAAATCCAACAGACCCAACAGTCATGACATGCATGCTGCTGATTCTGTGTAATTGAATCACTAATTGAAAGGGGCATGTTCAAAATAACAGCAGTGTGGGGTTCTATTAGTGAGGTCATTCATTCTTTGAAAAACAGGTGGCAATTATTGCCCTTATTTAAGGAAGGAAGGCAGCAAATGTTGTACATGCTGGTTACAGTGCATTTCTCTCTGAAATTCTGAGGAAAATGGATCGTTCCAGACATTGTTCAGAAAAACAGCGTACCTTGATTAAAAAGTTGATTGGAGAGAAAAAAAAAAAAAAAAACATATAAAGAAGTGCAGAAAATGATAGGCTGCTCAGCTAAAATGATCGCAAATACTTTAAAATGGCAACCAAATCCTGAAAGATGTGGAAGAAAGCGAAAAACTACCATTCGAATGGATAGAAGAATAGCCAAAATGGCAAGGACTCAGCCAACAATCAGCTCCAGGAAGATCAAAGAAGGTCTAAAGTTACCTGTGAGTACTGTTACAATTAGAAGATGCCTATGTGAAGCCAAGCTATCGGCAAGAAGCCCCCGCAAAGTCCCAAAAAAAAAAAAAAAAAAAAAAGACGTGCTGAAGAGGTTACAATTTGCCAAAAAGACCACATTGACTGGCCTAAAGAGAAATGGTGCAACATTTTGTGGACTGATGAAAGTAAGATTGTTCTTTTTGGGTCTAGTGGCCGGAGACAGTTTGTCAACGACCCCTAAACACTGAATTCAAGCCAGAGTACACTGTGAAGACAGTGAAGCATGGTTGCGCAAGCATCATGATATGGGGATGTTTCTCATACTACGGTGTTGGGCCTATTTATCGCATACCAGGGATCATGGATCAGTTTGAATACATCAGAATACTTGAAGAGGTCATGCTGCCTTATGCTGAAGAGGAAATGCCCTTGAAATGGGTGTTCCAACAAGACAAACGACCCCAAACACACAGTCAACGTACAACATCTTGGTTCCAGACCAACAAGATTGACATTATGGAGTGGCCAGCCCAATCCCCGGATCTTAATCCAATAGAAAACTTGTGGGGTGACATCAAAAATGCAGTTTCTGAGGCAAAACCAAGAAATAGAGAAGAACTGTGGAATGCAGTCCAATCATCCTGGGCTGGAATACCTGTTCACAGGTGCCAGAAGGTGGTTGACTCCATGCAACACTGATGTACAGCAGTTCTCAGAAACAGTGGTTATACAACTAAATATTAATTAAGTGATTCAAAGGAAAGCAAAATCTTCAAACATTTTTCAGTTTATACTGTATAGTGAATGTTTGAGTTTGTAAAGAAGAATACAAAACACTGCTATTTTTTTGAACAGTCTAATATTCACTTTTCTTCATTTTTTTTAGAGGAACAACAAAAATTTGATATATTTTTCTTCATGTTTTGATTTGGAATAGAATATGTAGTATTCCCAATGCATTTCTTTGTATGGAAATAAAAGCTATTAGAAGGATTTTGAGCTTTATTCACTTTTTTCAACACACTGCTATTATTTTGAACACAACTGTATATATGTATGTATATATAGACACACACACACACACACATATATTTGCTAACTTAAGTCACATAAAAGGAGTTACCCTTTAGGTGGGGACAGACTGAGGAAGTGCATTATGCACCACCCATACCGTAAGATCTTTGTCCACGTTAGGACAGACAATGCTAAAATTTAGTTTACAACTGATAATGGAGATCTTCCAGCACATGACAGACGGGGTTAGTTTTGTTAAGCTTTACTCCCAGCCCCCTCCTTAACAGTACATAGAAAGAACAGCTATGTAGGATTTTTAAGAATGTTAAAAGGCAAGTATCTGTGGTCACCAAGCCTGTACAATTGAATGACAGGATTAAAGGGTAATTCCACTTTTGTGCTAAAAAAAAAAAATTTGCAAAAAAAAAAAAAAATATAGCATTTACAATTGCGACTCAACACATATTGTAATTGAATGTTACTAATAATTACCTTTCCTTTCTAATCTGCAGTTCTGTAATTTTCTGTAAAATGCAATGCAATATGGATACCTGGAGGTGTTCTGTGGACAGATGGTGTACAGAACGCCCCCTGAAAATGTCATTTCCTGCTTGAGTGATTGGCTGATTTTCCCAGAAGTTTTTCACTAAGATACAAGTATGAATTTTGGCATCCCTTGCAACAAAAATGTCTATGGGAGATCACTTGATCTATCGAAGATCACATCTAAAGGGATGCAGACCTTGCCAATTTACTTAAGAGTCCTGCAGGTGCAGCAGAGGATTAATAATTATAAAACCACTCCCATACAGATTCACTCTGCACATGGACACAGACAAACAAACATCTATTTCTTCAGAATAACAAATGGTAGGACTGCAACAAAGTCTGTTAAAATCCTTGCAATGTACATAGATCACCCAGAGGGGAAGGTTTTTTTTGTAACAAAAGTGTTGTCTGCAGTTAAGCATGTATCTGTGCATCCAGAGGTTAGCTCAGTTTAGGGACAGATGTCTGGCCCTGGACACAGAGGCTGCATGTAACTGCTGAATGTGCGGACACATGCATACAACCCCTGCTCTTTTCAGCCTGTCAGTCATTCATTTGCACAGGTTTAGTGGCTGCCAATGATTAGAATAGCTGAGATCGTGACTGCAGGTTGTCTCAATATACTTGCCAGGTGAATCTTGCAGAAGTGCTCTTTTTGTCCATATGAATGAGACATAAGAGCTCATTCTTAAAATACATGATTGTATTGTGAAATGCACAATTTAAAGTAAAGAAAAGCTTACACACAGGAATGTTTATGGAAAATTATATAAAAGCAAACCTTTTATTGCTTTGTGAAACAATGTCTGTTTGTCCATTATATAACTGCATTGGGGGGGGGGGGGGGGGGGGGGTTTGTGCGTGTTATTCTCTATAACTTTTTCCTATTTCCCAAAGCTGTCACTGTACCATACTGTGTGATAAGTGGAACACTTTGACAGCATATTATACCGTTTCTTTAGGGGCTAAAAGATTCCCATTTCTGATTTTGCAGATTCCAGAACAGTTTCATGTGCACTAATAAGATGTAAAGTTAGCAGGTTCCTCTTCCCATATAGTTAACTTTACAGGAACATTTTTTTTTTTTCCCCTGCAAACTGGGCTATGTATACAAACTTTTCCATGCTCAAATGCAATGTCAAAACAGTTCTTTAAAAAATTTTTTTTCCCCCCTTTCAATCAGGTAAACTTACTCTGAGCGCTGCTTAACTTTTTTAACAGCATAGTCCTTTTGGTCAATTTTTTTTCTTGCTTTAAAAACTGTTCCAAATCCACCAGAAACAAGTCTTACTATGTTCTCAAAATCCTGAAGAAATCTGAGGAAAAAAATAATTGAAAATGCATACAAGTGAATAAAACTAAAGAAAAAAATTAACTGGAAAGAAAAGCTGGCATTTTCCGGATGTAAACTGAAACCTAACGGTGCTTTAATTTCCTGCAATTTCTAGACATGCCATCTCATTCTAGGAACAATATGCTTTTTGAAAACCCATGGTAAAGCTGAAGTCTGGGCTTACTTGCATAGTTATATTAGTCAACTTGAACCAATATAAGTATGCATATGCCATACCTGTGGAATCCCTGTGGAAGCAGAGAATCACTGTAGCAGTCAGCACTACAACAGTGATCACCGCTACCTTCCAGGTCTCATGCAGAGCGACTGCCCTGCTGTATAGTGAGCAGAACACAGGGGATCACTCACAAAATTCCTTGCATTTTTCTCAATTAATGGAAAGCTTTCTCTGACTGGATGAGGTAGAGATCATGACATCACTGCTCCACTTCGCCACCTACTTCAAAGAACACCTTGCATTCATTGAGAAAAAAGGAAAAAAAAAGCCATAACCTGAATTCAGCTTTTAGGCCAATTGCATACAGGAGTGAAAAATGCTGAGTTTTTTTTACTGATATTAAATGAGATGCATTGTTGTCTACTGGAGACTGCATAAAACTGAATAAAGCTCAGTAATGCAGTGTGAGTACAGAGCAGTAAAACAAAAATAGAAATGTGAGTGGAGTCACGTGCTTACTCGTCTACAAGGATGTTTACGCGTGTATACATGAGTATATTACAACACTGGCAATGGAGAAGAATTTTACTTGTCCTTATTAGTCTATACACTTATACACCTTTACACGAAATTATTCAGGTCTTTACACACAGTTTTTAGTCCCTTGCACAAGTTCCTGAGTAAACATCAGTAAATTATCACTCTCTTGTGCAAGGGGCCTAAGAATGTTTACGCGAATAAGTATGTTACAATACTGCTAATGAAGAAGAATTTAACTCGTCTATATGCTTTACTCAACATTACTCAGCTCTTTACACACAGTTTTTGGCCCCTTGCACATGGGCATCATAAGTTCCTGAGTATCCATCAGTAAATGATCGTACATCAGTAAATCAGTAGGTCAAAGTCTTTGGGTGGCTGAGGATGTAGTGTGTTTAAACTTTGCTAAAGCATGTGACATGGTTCCACACAGATGGCTTACCTGTAAAAGAAGGCCTATTCCTTTAGTAAAATATTCCCAATCTCTCCAGTGAGGTAAATCTCCTCTGAGGCAATAGTCACATATACAAAATGTCCCAAATCTCCCTTCTATTCCTGTTCTGGCGCAACTGACAACTAAAAACTTGTTTGGCAGTTGTATTTAATTGTAATCTGTGGCCAGCTGGTTTGGTGTCCGACTTGTATGTGAATTTCCAGTTTTCTTACCATGTTTTTCTTTTGCCTTTCAGTCTAGGACAGGGGATGGCAACCCGTAGATCACTGGCAGATGACAGGTGGATTGCAAATACCTCCCAGTGTTGCAGATCCAGTCCTTTTCCCTGAGAGGCAGAGCAGCACAGGTGCATGCTCACCCAATCCTAGACAGAGAGTGCCCCCCACCCCTTGCATACGTGCAGCTGCGGGGGGGAAAGCATCTGAAAAAGCTCAGGCGGATTTGGGCTTTTGTCCAAACTTGCTCGAGCTCTTCCCCCGAGTGTTGTGAGCTCAACCCTGCCAGCCCTCCCACCCGATCCAAAGGGCTTGCGGGTGATATTTGAGAAGACGAGAGAGGAGAGAATTGCCTGGGGGGATAAAAGCCAGAACATGCAGTTTGTCATTGCAGCTTCCATGCACCACTCAAAAACAACTTCTGTGCCCTCCTGATCAGCATAATGCCCTTCTGACCCTCTAGCCCTCCCATGGTGAATTAAAGGGAGTGTCAAGTTTCTCACTAAAACTTAACTTTTAAGTTAGGCTATGTTTACATTTTTACAGTGACATTAATAGTAGTGTATTAGTAGATTTTTCTAGGTTTCTTTATGTGGTCTTTTTAATTGGTGGCTTAAAAAAATGCTGCACCCTGGTGACCTTTGACCTCTTTCATAGTGTCCAGGTAGATCACCACCTCTCAAAGGTTACCCACCCCTGGTCTAAGATAAGGAAGCTAAATAAGCCAGTGTGCTCTGTTGTGCCACCCTGTAAACAGGCACCTCTTTCTGAGAAGCAGAGTAGTGTGGACATGTGTTGGGCCTGTTGAGTGAAGAATAGAGACCATAAACAAAGTGTTAGGTATGTCCTTGTAGAACACCTATAGTGTTTTTTTCTGGATGAGATCATGATGCAGAAGTTGCAAGTGAAGCCATTTATGAGAATGGTCAACCTTCTGGGCACATTACAGAGGTCTGAGAAGCAAAAGTGCTTTGCTAAAGGGAAAATGTATATCTGAGGACACAAACCAGGCAGGTGTGAAGAATGATGTTTCACAGGATAAGTCACCTTCTAGTTAGTAAATCAACTGTAAGAGGTGTTTAGAAAAGGATGTGGGAGTGCTTAAGGAGGTAAGGGGTCTACCTGGTGCTACTTTTAGTGGGAATGAGAGATGCATTGTAAATACTGTCAAAGCTAATAAGAGTTGTGAAGAAGATGTTGTGCATCTTTTCACGATGTTCTTGTCACAGAAAGATGTGCTTTCCTGAATTCCCAGAATTTGGGTCAGAAACTTCCTAAGATAGCTGGAACATTTACTTTTTTTCAGCAATGCTCAAAAAGCAAAAGCAATTTGTATTGCAGAGTTAAAGCTGTGCATAAAAAAAAAATTAAAAAGTGCAATAAAGAGTTTTTACAGACTGGTTATTCAGTCATAAAAAAGTGAAAAACAAACCTGCACAGTCCTTAAATAAATGATAACAAAACCATATAACAAATCAAGTTGCCAGCTAAATACGGAGTAGGTGATTTCACCACAAACACAGTGAGAACTTTTTTTTTTTTTTACATTTTTTTTTATGTGATGCATATCGGATCAAATAAGGGATCGACTTTATGTTTGTGCATTAACCCATGGGAGGGTGAAAAAGCATTATTTGACCTCATTTATGGTAAGAGGTCAAATGTTGAGGTGAGCGCATTGTAATATCACGTTGTGGCGTGTACTGGTGTTACTGTGGGACTATTTTTTAATAACAAAGCTTTGGAACAAAACACATTTTTCACACTGGTGTTCAAAAGGCACACCTGGATAATGGATCCAGTTGTTTTGAGACACTTTTTTTCTACAGTGGTTGATGTGTTTGTGCACAGTTTATATATGTGTATGAATTATGTTGCTCTAAGCTATTTCTGTTTAGTCATGACACCTAAAAAAAAAAAGAAGAAAAAAAAAAAAGGGACAAACAATGGATGATTAACAAGACACAATGTGAGCCCAATAAATTAAGCCTCAGTTCAAAGGGCAAGTTCTAGGTCAAAGCAAAGCTGCTTGCAACATAGAGAGAGGAGGCATGTTTACAGTAGATTGATTCCAACTGCCTCACCAAAATATCCAGATTCCCATTCCATACATTTAATTTTCTAATACCATCACAGTGTCAATCCTGAATGAGCCAGAGCAGTAAAATGAAGAAAAACGCTCCCAAAGAAAGGGGTTTTAGTAGGATATTAAAAAAAAGAGAAACTTTCCTCCCGGCCAAGAACTTGTCTCAGCCTTTCTCTTTCCATCTTAAGGTGTATTTCCACTTTTGCAGGAAAATTTGAGAAAGCCTCACTATATTTTGCTATGTGTCTCATTCACAAAGCATACATAAATACATTACACGTAAATATTTCTTACCTTTTATAAATTTTTGGAGGTATTTTGGCAGATTGCAAGTGTTTCTCGATAATCTAACAGTGTCTGTTCCCACTCAGACAGGGGAATTTCTGCGCTACAAAAAAGAAGGGTTCGTGAAAAGAAATTCACAGGAAAGCGGCTACACTATGAACAGAATGTGATACTCAGAAAAAATTCCAAAAATTATGCTTTATTACATATAAATATTTGACATATGGGCAGTCGCCCTGGTTACCATCACCTCAGTATGAGACAATATACACACAGACCTAAAACCATATAAAATCACCAAGACCGGTCTAAATAAATGTGCTGCCAAGACAATGACAAAAATGTCTAAAGTCTTTGCCGCACTGGCACATAGGTTAACACTTCCCAAAGGAGGTGTACACAGAAATTATACCATAGGTATACAGTGTCACATGTAATAAATGTAAAGACATATGTCATAACCATATAGGTTCTATCCCAAAGAGGGGATTTCCCAAAAATTATACCAAAGGTATGAAATATCACATGTATGCATTGCGGCGAGCACAGTGTGCGTCAGAAGAGAGGCATAACCATAAGCCTATATAAGGCAGCAAAAGGATATCATATATAAAATGCAGTACAGTCCCATGCCGGTACATGTGGTTGGGGCCCATTCATCTGTAATAGAAGTGACTGATATTTAGGACTCTTTAGATGTAAATAACGCCCCGATTGTTGCCTGGATGGAGAAACAGATGCAGATAGCAGGACACTGCTTTAAGTGATGACTTCACCACAATATGTGGACTACACATCACTTGTTGTTGAAAACAAGATAAAGCCCACGGCGGAGGAGCCGCTGGGCTTTATCTTGTTTTCAACAACAAGTGATGTGTAGTCCACATATTGTGGTGAAGTCATCACTTAAAGCAGTGTCCTGCTATCTGCATCTGTTTCTCCATCCAGGCAACAATCGGGGCGTTATTTACATCTAAAGAGTCCTAAATATCAGTCACTTCTATTACAGATGAATGGGCCCCAACCACATGTACCGGCATGGGACTGTACTGCATTTTATATATGATATCCTTTTGCTGCCTTATATAGGCTTATGGTTATGCCTCTCTTCTGACGCACACTGTGCTCGCCGCAATGCATACATGTGATATTTCA